TAGGAAAAAAAAATCATGTATCAAGATATGTATTATATCTTCTTTTTCATTATGAATGCTCTGACAACACGCGACAATAGATCATAAAACACACATGACCCTTTTTTTAAAAAAGCAGAACACTGCAACTTGCTGTGCTGAAAACCACATTCACTGTTATACTGCCTATAGAGGGATTGAAATTTTGCCAGTTCAGCAGGGACCAGCCAGATTCTGATCCATGTATGGGCACCATGGTTGTACAAAGGTTGTTCTACCGACCAGGGGCGGACTGACAACTTATGGGGCCCCTGGGCAATAGGGGATCATGGGGTCCCTATGTCCTTGCTCAAACTCAAAAAAGCCTATGAAAAATGTACCAGGGGCATCTCATGGGGCCCCCTGCTGACCCCGGGCCCTCGGGCAGTGCCCGAGTTTCCAAATGGTCAGTCCGCCCCTTCTACTGACTGACTTCTGTTCAACCACCATGCTGGAATATTTCCTCTAGGTCAGCACTGCTGGTTGATCAGTGTAAACTCACCGGCCACTTTATTAGGTACACCTTGCTAGTATCGGGTTGGACCCCCTTTTGCCTTCAGAACTGCCTTAATTCTTCGTGGCATAGATTCAACAAGGTGTTGGAAACATTCCTGAGTTTGTGTTTCATATTGACATGAGCTACTGTTGCCTTTTTATCATCTAGAACCAGTCTGCCCATTCTCCTCTGAGCTCTGACATCAACAAGGCATTTTCATCCACACATCTGCTGCTCACTGGATATTTTCTCTTTTTCAGACCATTCTCTGTACACCCTAGAGATGGTTGTGCATGAAAATCACAGTAGATCAGCAGTTTTTTAAATACTCAGACCAGCCCTTCTGGCCCCAACAACCATGCCACGTTCAAAGGCACTTAAATCCCCTTTCTTCTTCATTATGATGCTCAGTTTGAACTTCAGCAAGTCATCTTCACCACGTCTAGATGCCTAAATGCATTGCTGCCAAGTGATTGGCTGATTAGCAGTTTGAGTTACCAAGCAATTGAACAGATGTATCCAATAAAGTGGCAGGTAAGCATATTGTAATGGTGGGGAAGCCTTCCCACACTGAGAATACAAAGACACAGTTGGAGGATTCCCCCATCCATTTGAAAACAGGTCAGTTTTTTTTGTTCAACCTGCTGATTGAATGAAAAAAAATGGACTCGTGTGGTCAACTTAGACATTTTTCAACAAAGAAAAATTTTCCATCCTGTACCTTCAAATTTTCTTGTCACTTACGAACACCGATGTGATAACTACTAGAATGGCAAAGAAAAATTTGGAAAACAAAAATCTTCAAATGAAATTCAACTAGTGTAGAACCAGCTTAAGTTTATATACGTTGACTGCATTTCTGTTAATAATGGAGAATATATGTGATCAATAGCTATTCACTCTGCTTTGTCTTTATTGTCTGCGCACACAGGCCTACAACACAGTAATGTATCATACTGTGACTTTATGTGTGTATGGGACCTAACAGAAATAACACATGGACCAAAGTAGGCTCTATATAATCATCTCAGCCATGGGATGACACCAACTCCTATCAATGATCAACATGCATTTATGGATGGGATTGGTGGGAAATAAAAATAATTGATGAAAAGCGCAATTGGTGCACATGTACTGAGTATGGCTAAGACTCGTATTATTACAATGAGTTTAGAAAATAATCACCCTCCCTTTAAAATAATCACATTTTGTTGCTTTACAGTCTTAAAGGAAGGCGGCCACAATTTTGTTTTATCCAGCTGTATTTACTTAGTGCAACTTAAGACATCCAAGTGAAATATATAACACCAATATGCTCCAGTCCCTGCTGCAGAGAAACCCCCATAACAGGATATTACCACCTCCATGCTATACTGTAGGAATGGTGTTATTTGGATGGTGAGCTGTATTGGATATATTGTTTAGTGTTGAGGCCAAATTATTCAATTTTAGTCCCATCTGACTATAACACTATATTCCCACGTGGCCTCAGAATCTTCAAGGTGCGTTTTGGGAAAGCTCAGTCATGACTGCATGTGGCCTTTCATGAGGAGCGGCTTTTTTCTTGCAACCCTCCCATACAAGCCACATTTGTGGAGAATTTGTGATATTGTTGTCATATGCACACAATGACCACTCTTTGTCATAAATTTCTGCAACTGCTTCAGGGTTGCTGTAGGCCTCTTGGTAGCCTCTCTGACCAGGATCCTGGCTCTTTCATCCAGTCCTGATGTACGGAGGGTCTATCTTGTACCAAATACCTTCCACTTCTTAATAGACTTCACTGTGCTTCTAGGCCTTTGACATTTTTTTGAATCCATCTCCTGACTTGTGCCTGTCCACAGCTTTATCCCAGAGATCTTTTGACAGTGCTTTGCCACCCATAGTTGATTGTTTGCTTCAGTTGCACTACCAGAGGCTGAAATACTCCAGAAAAGCTTTTCAATACCAAGCTAATCAAAATGACCGCAGCTGATCACAGATGAAAGTCAAATGGCTTTGTGTGCCATTGAGAGGGTGATTAGCTACACCTGACTTAGGTGTCCTTTTATGAAACAGAGGTAAGCGGCGATCCTGAGGAACGTTGCTGATCTCCAATCATTTGTGGTTTAGGAAACAGAGATGATCAGTGGAGAACATGTTCTCCACTGATCATCTCAGCACACAGATGGCCAGTGTATGAAGGAGTGATGTCAGCCCTTCACTGGCGATCTGTGTTCTCCCTCCAGATTCTCCAGCCCAGAGCTAAAGAATCTGAGGAACAGCAAGCGAAGCAGCAATAATTTACCTCTGCTTAGTAAACAGTGTCTTACTGTAATCTTGCGAGATTATAGTAAAATCAGCCTTTTTCCAGCGTTTGAAGATCGCTTCTCCCTTCATTCGGAGAACTGATATACACCGCTTCATAAAAAGGCATTCAGAGGAGAACTCTCTTCCTTGAGAATGCCGAGAACTGAGCAGCGGTCATTTACCGCTGCATGATAAAAGGACACCTTAGTTTTCAAGTCATTTTTAAGAGGGGGTGATCCTTTTTCCAACTCAGTGATTCTGTTTTTGAATTTGTAAAAAAATGTTCTGACATGTTGGTGTTATATCTTTCATCTTACATCATGAATGTTATAAGTTATAAATACAGCTAGATAAAACAAAAACAGCGTCTGTCGTCATTTCCAGCAGCAAAGCAACAAAATGTGATTATTTTAAAGGGAATGGCTCTTCTCTATATCCACTGTATATGGCCACATTAAGATTCAATGACTGTTCTCACATGGGCAGAATAATTAGTTAACCTCCCTGGAGGTATTCCCGAGTGTAGCTCGGGGTAAAGTTTCAGTACAACAAGCGGTAACCTTGAGCTACACTCGGGCTTTCCATGCGGCGCTGCTCCACAATCCCTCGATCACTTACCTTGTCCTGCGCTCCTCTGATGTCCCCCCTGCAGTGTCCCCGGCAATGTAATTCGGCGGATCCTGGCATCTGTCATCTGGGTTCCGTCCCCTGCGAGCGTCGGGATGTACGGGGACGGAATGGCAGGAAATTTGAAAATGACAAACAGTGACATTCACTAAATACACTAAAATCACATAGTAAAACATTACTGTATCAAACCATTTCACATACATTTTGTCCCGAGTGCTTTGTCCTGTGCCCTGCCTGCATTTTTTACTGTTCTTTCTGCCTGGAAACTGAGAAATGTCCATGGCGTCCAAAAAGCGTCCCTTTAGGTCGAAAATGGTTTTAGAGCAGCTAGAGAACAGCGATAGTAAATTAGAACCACTTGCAGAATTGAGTGATAATGATTCGTGGGAAATTCGTCATCAGACACTGAAAACAATTTTGGGACTTTGCTCAGTGATGTGCGAACTTGGAGCTATATTTCAAATTTCAGTGTTTTTGGTTTGATTATATTATTGAATTAAATTTATTATTATTTTATTATTTTTTATGATTATTTATTAAATTATAATTTATGATTTCGTGTTTCAAGTTTTATCATACCCGGGATGTTTACTAGACTCTTACTAGACTCTTGTTCGGACAGATTTCAGTGAGTTATTCCTAAAAATTCCAGGCCTGCAATAAAAAAAATACATATTTCCATGCAAAAAAAAGTACCACTTTGAGCACAGAAATACTGACATAATCAGACCGCTAGGGAGGTTAATTTGTTTGGTAATGTTATTTAGATACCCGTGGGAACAAATACATGAACAGTTTGTAAGACATTCCTATATTTTTTCTTAAAGTAAAAAAAAAAAAAAAAATATATATATATATATATATTTTTATAAACACATGTACTACACCTCTGCAATACATGCACTGTTCTTCATGTTTTATCTCTTTATAGACCCTGCAAGTACAGAAAAATACTGGTTACTTTGATGGAAGTGCACTCTGGTACTATTTTCCTGTTGTGGGCTGACAACACAGTGCCTTTTTCTGAACTGAAATAACAAGAAATAGTGTCAGTCCTGCCCAGTTGTCTCTATTACTGAATACCTCCCTCTCATCTAATCCCCACAACATAAAAGAGGATTGCACTGAAGCTCAAGATAAAAATTGGGAGAGAGAATTAGACTTTTTGCCATAACAAAGGAAATGTGAACAGAATAGAGGATAAAGCTTTGCTTTTGAGTATGGCTATACTATAAACCTGGACCCCAGTTAGCATTAAAAAGTCTGCTTCATGTGCCCCCCCCCCCCTCCAATATAGTAAGGGTTAATAGATTGTTTAACCACTTGCCTACCGGGCACTTATACCCCCTTCCTGCCCAGGCCAATTTTCAGCTTTCAGCGCTGTCACACTTTGAATGACAATTGCGCGGTCATGCAACACTGTACTCATATGACATTTTTATAATTTTTTTGAGACAGATAGAGCTTTCTTTTGGTAGTATTTAATCACCTCTGGGATTTTTATTTGTTGCTAAACAAACCAAAAACCACTGAAAATGTTGAAAAAAATGTTTTTTCTTAGTTTTTGTTATAAAAGTTTGTAAAGAAGTGATTTTTCTCCTTCACTGATGTGCGCTAAGTGATGTGCACTGATGGGCACTGATAGGTGGCAATGATGGGCACTGATGAGGAGGCACTGGTAGGTGGCAGTGATGGGCATTGGCAGGCATCACTGATGGGCACTGAAAGGCAGCACTCATATATGGCACTGATAGGTGGCACTGATAGGCTGCACTGACTGGCACTGTTAGGTGGCACTGACTGGCAGTACTGACTGACACTGATAGGTGGCACTGACTGGCACTGATTGGCGGCACTGATTGGCGGCACTGATTGGCGGCACTGACTGGCACTGAAAGGCAGCTCAGATGGGCACTGATATGTGGCATTGATGTGCACTGGTAGGCACTGATATGTGGCATTGATGTGGCACTGATGGGCACTGGCAGGTGGCATTGATGAGCACTGACAGCTGGCATTGATGGACACTGATAGGTGGCACTGCTGGGGCTACACTGACCATCAGGGCACACTGATCATCTGTGCCCTGATGATCAGTGTACATTTCCGTTCTGAGGAATGCTGATTACCGGATCTCCTCTCCTCTTGAGCTGTCAGCGTGATAACTGGCATTTCCTTATTTACATGCGATCAGCTCTGATTCAACACAGTTGATCACATGACCGATCGCCACGCCGTGTGCCCCCCGGAGCCACGCATGCACGGTTAGAGTAGGAGGATGTCATATGACGTCCTCCCAGAACGAGAGAACCACCTTGCGCCTGTCATTTTCCTAACGGGAGGCCATTTATCTAAGAAGGGTGTAGAGAATGACTTACCCTATTCCTTGCTCTAAGAGGCTTCCTAGGCGCCATATGACTGTTCCCAAAGCTCTTCACCACTCATCTGGTGTTATCCTCTCTGACATCATCGTGTGCAATGTAGGACCAGCAGTTTGGACGTGGAAGGCCCATCCACATACTAAGTGCGGAAGCAAGGAATAAATTAATTCTGTATTCTCCACACCCCCTCTACACACAACCCCTAGGCCAAACAACATATTAAGCTTTACTATGCCTGGAGGGAAGGAGGAGTTGGGGGGCACATACATTGTCAGTTTTTTGTTGCCCACTACAAGTATGTCTGGAACCTAAAAACTATAAAAAGTAAACAGTATACCAAACTGATATGCCTATTTCCGCAAAAAATTTAAAACATTAATCCAAAGATAGTAAATGGTACCAAGTATACTTGTACCAAGAGAGTACTTAACACTTGGGAAAAAATGTTACAGTGCCATAGGTTGGATGAGAATACAATGTCACTTGTAGTTATTTATGGAGCATTAGACACATACTGTTTATACAGTTAATAAATAAGGATTCGAACTGTGCCAAGAAGCAAAATAGACAGGATTACGTCTAAATTTCAAACTTGTGCCATGAATGATACAGTTGGATCAGTTAAACCTAACATAGACATTATACAGGATCAACACAATCCTAAATACTAGATGGTAGTAAAAAAACAGTATTTACAATCCATTGGGGTTGATTTACTAAAATTAGAGAGTGCAAAATCTGGTGCAGCTGTGCAAGTTAGCCAATCAGCTTCTAACTTCAGCTTGTTCAATTAAGCTTTGACAATAGAACCTGGAAGCTGATTGGTTTCTATGGAGAGCTGCACCAGATTTTGCACGCTCCAGTTTTAGTAAATCAACTGCATTGTGTCCAGTAGCTTTTTCCAGTGCTTAGTAGAGATATTATTGGTGACAAATTATAAGAAAGGCACTCTTTACCATAAATTCAGATCATTGCATTTTTAATACATAAAGAACATTTTTCAAAGGCCAGGCATTTATGTACACCATCCAAACCATGAAATCTGATAAAAAAAACGTATGCTGATATGTTGTAATGTATGTGTTTCTTGAGTAAATGAGTCTTAATTATACGGGGTCTGATTGTGTCCACTGCCTGTCCCTCCCTTCTTCCCTGCCGGGGTAGGGGGGAGGCCACAAAGATCTCGGTCAGGGATATGCAGATGCTCTTTCTCCATCCAATTACATGAATTCTATTGTGCAGGAAAACTGGGATAAAAGGCAAACTGGTCACTTTCTACAACCGGGGAGGGTAGAGTTTTTATTATGGAAGGGTGGGAAGGGGGAGGGTTCCTGGGGCTATTTTGAATTGTTTTCCAATTATTGTCTTAGTAGATGGCTGGGGAGGGATCCACATTGCCATGTTCCTATGAAAGCTTCCTACCATGACTGCATATAAAACTATGGACAACAATTGAACCACAACCCTATTATATTATTTGTATTATGAAATGCTTTGATGAAACACAGTGATTGACACCAGAAGGAAATAGACATATCTTATAATGCAGAAGAGGGTTACTGAAAGTCATTTATTTTGTGACGTCAACAACGTCTTAGGACAGGTTTGCAAATTTCACAATACCTTTGACAGTGTATTCAAAACCTAAACAGTGCTTTGTTCAAATAGTGGTCCAGCCTATCTAAGACCGTTTACTGTTTATTTTATCTTCCCTTTAAGTAGTCATTTTTTGTATCTTTTAGCTATGTTTTTATAAATAGGTTTTAAAGAGATTACTCAGTTCCAAGATGTTCAGTGATCTTCAGTGATCAAATCTAAAGATCTGAATTAGGGAGCAATTAGGTCAAATTAAACTTTTTAAGACTGGTCCTTTAACTGGATTAGCATCTAAATTATTCACCGATCAAAGGATGCATTATCAGCAAGGGGTCAGTTACAGTGCAGAGGACAGAGAATCACCTGTCACCACAGTCAAAAGAGCACTTAAGGACCAACTCCAGCCAAAAAGTTGTCAGATTTGTGTTGCTGTCTGTGAGATCAAGACATGTCAAGCCATCTAGTGATTTGTAGGCTTGGTGGACCCAGACCATTTTTCAAATACAGAAGCGGCACCACTTAAGTCAACATGAGGAAAAATAATCCATTTGTTATACTAAGATGGTGTATTAATGTCCAATTTTTTAAAACTTTTTTAAAATTTAGATTGAGATAGTTTTTTTTATTGTTGTGTTTCTGTGGAGTTATTCCTACTTCCTTTGTGTTCACCAGAATGAAAGCATGGGTGGATCTCATCACTTTTTCATACTCACACATAGCATTTTTTTGGAGAACCACAAATCGTTACATGCTCACTTACAGCAAGTATACCATACCATATTATAAAATGTGTTATTTTGTATAAAATCAGGAAAACTGTAATGCAATTAAATATTCAAAGAGGGATTTTGTTATAGCTAGGACTATAAACCTGGTATATCTACATGGACAGAATTCCCAAGAAAAATATACACAACCAGAAACAAAAACGTTAGCCCAGTAACAAATTGTCAGTGGCAATCTCACCGAATGTACTACATACATAAAGCACATGTATCACTTTGTTAAAACGTCTAAGTAATTCCTTTTACATCATAATGCTTAACTCCAGACAATATGTATGTTTTCTTTAGTTCTGGATAGAGTGGGGAAGGGATAGGGCCTAAATTGTTCTTTTTTGTGGTCTGTGAACGTATTTGGATGATTTCTTTTTACTTTCTGTCAAACATAGGGTCAGGGACAGCAGTAAAAATGTGTCAGAATATATATTCTTCCCAATTCTATCCACAATAAAAAAAAACAGGAGTTGCGCTTTTATAGTGACTGTAGATTTTCATTTATTTGCAAGAATGTTACATTTGTTCTTTGTACTGGTATATATGGGTTTTTATGTTCTGATACTTTTATTTTTCTGTTCCCACATACAGGGGTTGATTTACTAAAAGAAAATAGACTGTGCACTTTGTAAAATGCAATTGCGCTCTGAAAGTGCAGTTACTTCAAAGCTTAGTAAATGAGCAGAAGCTCTACTGGCTTCCACCATCCAATCATATGCAAGCAAAAATGAAGTTTATTTTATTTTCCTTGTACATGATTGGGTATTCTTTGAAAAGTGAAGCTTTACCTCATTTACTAAGCTTTGGAACAACTGCACATACACAGTGCAGCTGAACTTTGCAAAGTGCACAGTCTGTTTGCCTTTAGTAAATCAACCCCTTAGTCTCCCAGCCTCCAGTTCAACATTCTGTTCTGTGGAATATGTCATCAGCCACATGTTGCCATCCATGCACTACATGGTCCTTCTCATTATGGGATTCCAAGAAGAATCACATTTTCTCCTTTAGCTTGCTGGTCTTGACCACAGAGCTGTACACATTCATGACATATATCTGATTAAACACAAAATGGCTTATTGAACAAGAACAAATATAGGTGGAAACTCTCTGATAAAACTCTGAGCTTTTTTCAGCTTTGTACTGATGAATGCAAAGTATGCCGAAGGTAACATTTCTGTAGAAAGGACAATTAGAAGCTAATTGATCACTATGGGCACCAACGGAACCATTAGCACATCTTCATAACCAGTGCTGGTATGGGTTTTGGAAGGTTGTGCTTTGCCCTTGAGGCACTTTTTCGAGGAACCAGGAACACAGTTTTCGAGGTTTGAAAGGGATCTTACTGTTGCTTTTGCCATGCTTTATTTTGCATGAAAAATAACACAGCTTGCCTTAAGGTACCTACAGGCATTCAAAACTGTTCACTTGATTTGTTCAATTTCAGTCAGACTGTGGAACATTCATGCACATCCACAATCCTGGCTGATGCTCTCTGACTGAGAAATACAATGCCATTGCATAGTAAATGCATTACAAAACACATTTCAATACATACCTTTTTTTGCCATGAAAGCTTTCTACATTTGAACAGTTATACCCCTAACCCTATGATACCCCCTTTAGTGCAGGGTAGGTCAGTGAGATTCACTGTTTGATCAGTCTGTTTACTGGTGTGCATCCTATGTGCCATCATGGGCTTTCTGGAGATATATATATATATATATATATATATATATATATATATGTTTCCAGTCTTCACCAGAAACAACCACAATGGGGCTCAATATATTAGGTTTCTAGGTGGCATCCACCAGGTTCTCCCCACACTGGAGTTCTAGTGGATATTCCAACTACAGCACCATGTTGACGGGCACCTTAGCCCAAAAATGAGCAGTCATCGGGACAGTCAGTGTTCAGGCAAGGTCATCACACAGGCATAAATCAGAGCAGGCAATATACAATTGAAAAACAGATTCCACAAGGCTAGATTTGTAACCAGTATACCATCAGAAGCCTCAAACCAGGATACCAAAACACCACAAAGGATCAGGTGGCACCTGTTTTCTCAGTCACTGTTGTGGGCACAAAGATAAAATTGTAATTGCCACCTGCTTTTTGCTATGGCACATTTTAACTTGCTTGTGCTCCCCAAAATAGCACT